GGTGTCGCCGCCGCCCGTCCGCCCCTCCGCTCGCCGGGTCGTTGTTGCCGCCTTCGCCTCCCGATCCGGCCGCCGTGTCGCCGGTGAGGACTCCCCCCTCTCCTTTTCTTCCCCTTCCCGCGTGCGCCGCCGCCTTTCGTTGCACCGCCGCATCGGCCGTGTGCCGCCGCTTCCGCGCCGGTCGCTGCTGCCTCCCGCGCCGCCACTTACCGTCGCCTGCGACCACTCGCCGCCGCCGCTCCCCATGGCCGGCCGGCCGGCTTTGTGCCGAGCCGAGCCATTCCTAGTCGCCGCCGCGCCGTCCGATCGGCTCCCGGCCGATCTGGACTGTCGGTCCCGTGGACAGGCAGTGGACCACCTGCGTGGTCCTAGTCCACGGTTGACCGGCCGCCTTGTGCCGCCGACCCGTGGGGCCCACCTGTCTCCCTCCCCCCCCCCCCGCCGCTGACGTCGGTCCTGGGGCAATATTGTGCAATAAATCGAATAAGGATTTTTCTTTATTTGTAAAAGCACATATTATCTTCTAAAATTCAAATTCATAAGTAATTCATCCGAGCTCCGTTTAAGTCCATTCAAGTCTTAGTAAATTCATAAAAATCCCTAGAATCTATTAAAAATGGTTTTGTTTCCTGTTTCAGTAGTCTTATAGCATGTTTTGCTTGGGTGCTTTGTTTGTCGCGTAGATTTCGGCCGTTTCGTCGATCCACGGTTTCTCGAAGACGTTGCTGTGGTCTCATAAGTACGAGAGTAAGGCAAGTCATGTATAACAATTGATCATATTGTACCCAATTTACAAATATCCTGCATTTCTATTAAATGTTGTATTCTTTTACAATGTCACGTGTGATGGGTCCTATTACTCAGCCATTTATTGTTTACCTTATGCCATTGATAACTTGGGTATCAAAAATGACTAGATGTTGGTTTAGGAAAATGTTTAGTCATGCCTAGCTCAACTAGTACACAAATGGAGATCACATTATTACATAGACTTTGTCTATTAGCATAGCTTTAGATTGGTACCACCACAAATGGTGTTAGTTAATTAAAATACACTAAATGGTGTGCTGTGGGTGCATGGTTTTGCTGGTCGCACCCATGGCAGTTAAGGACCGGTTCACGGGAAACCCTAGGAGACTTACACATATCTTTTCTGCACACTTTGTCCTCACTCGTGTGCACCCGGGAAGATGTCCTCACTCGTGTGCACCCGGGATGTAACGTCCCGCCTTCCCCCAGGCCAGGCCCGCTTACATCTGATAGCTTTCAGAGGTCATAGACTGCCCTCACAGACCAACACATATCTTTTCTGCACACTTTGTCCTCACTCATGTGCACCCGGGAAGATGTCCTCACTCGTGTGCACCCGGGAAGAATTTCCCGGTTGGTCACCCATCCCAAATTGCTCCAGGCCAAGCACGCTTAACCCTGGAGTTCTTTGGAGATTGGATTCCGGAAAAGAAGTTGCAACTTGTTGATATGAGTATTCTATTAATCCTATTAAGCCCTAGGCCGGGATGTTACACCCTCACCCCCTTAAGAGAGATCGACACCCCAGTCGATCAACCCTAGGCCAGGAACGTCCTCTCTTGGCCACGTCCATGTGTCCAGTGCCAGCGCATGTGCCATGCTGTGTAACCACTCCCGGTCTACACCAGCCATGCGCACCATGCCTGCGCAACTGCGACACACGCGCCCGTGAAACCGCGAGAGTCGGCTCTGATACCATTTTGTAACGTCCCGCCTTCCCCCAGGCCGGGCCCGCTTACATCTGATAGCTTTGATAGGTCATAGACTGCCCTCACAGACCAACACATATCTTTTCTGCACACTTTGTCCTCACTCGTGTGCACCCGGGAAGAATTTCCCGGTCGGTCACCCATCCCAAATTGCTCCAGGCCAAGCACGCTTAGGCCAAGCACGCTTAACCCTGGAGTTCTTTGGAGATTGGATTCCGGAAAAGAAGTTGCAACTTGTTGATATGAGTATTCTATTAATCCTATTAAGCCCTAGGCCGGGATGTTACACTTACCGTGTTTACCACAAGCGGAGTGGGTAACTGCTTGATCTGAAGTATAGCTCGACCCTTTCCTAGGCATCGGTGGCGAGGGTGGGCGTGATGTAGTTGGGTCGGCCGGGATATCCGGTTGTCCAGCTGCCGGATTCACCGCGGTGCACGAGGGGATTGCTCACTGCCTTTTGAGGGGTGGGGGTGAAACCTTAGCGTGGTGTGGATGGTTAGGGGAGGGTTATGCGGAGGGTCTTGCACGATTTCCCCCTTTGTAGTATCATGGTGATACTTCGGGGCATGGTGACATGTGTGGAATCGTGTCTTGTGGGTACAGTTGTACACCTCTGACAAGAGTAAAACTATTCGAATAGTCGTGCCCGCGGTTATGGGCGATCAACCAGATTCACCATGATTAGTCTCACCCCTAGATTAGCTTAATGAACTGGTGTAGTTCAGGTGGTTGGTTGGGCCTATTGCAACGTGGTGTAGCGTAGGACAGTGATTGGTTAATATTGCTTAATCTACTGCAATTGTTTTACTGTTTTCAACTATTGCTTTTAAATGCTAGCTTTATGCAAATGAACCTTTAGCCTCCTTTGGTTATATCCTGCATCATACCTCCTTTTCCGGTATGACTTGCTAAGTACAGTGGGTAGTACTCAGTCTTGCTCTCTTTTCTCCCACACCAGAGTTGAAGTTCTTCCAAGTTGGAGCTATCTTAGAGAGGTTGGTTTCATCGCTGCCATCAAGGATTGCATGTGGAGTGGAGTCGCCCCACTGCTGAAGTCAAGCGTCCAAGTCTAGCTCGTTTTATCTTTTCCGCTGCATTTGTAATCTTTTGTATTTTTGTAAGACGTAGATCTGTATGTCAACAATTGTCGTTTGTGTACCCTGGCTGGTCCTGGACAGGGATTTAATACATATTCAGCTTAGAAATTCTGGTTCGTGAATTTCTGGGTGTGACAGGTGGGGAGGAGAAGGGCAGTGGGGAGGGAATCCGGGGTGGCCATGTGCAGCTCGTGGCATATATGGCGAGGAGAGGACGTGATGGATTGGGTGGGAGGCTGAAAGGTGATGGAGAGATATGGGAAAAAAAGAAAAGGGGAAGATGAAGGAAGAAGAAGAATATGATGCGTGGGTCCCACGTGCAGATGGAAAAGAAAATAGAAAACATGACGATAGGGGCACGGCTCTAATTTTGTAAAATTTTGATGATGTAATTATGAATAGATAAATTGTAATGACATTTATCTAAAATACAATAATTACAATGGCAATGGATCAAATTAATCCTTTATATAACCTTCTCGTTTCATTCCCACAATCCGAAACGGCGCCAGAAATACTGCTCCTACCTTTCCTACCGTGCATGAGCCGTCCCCATTCCCTAGTCCCCACCTATAATACCCTGTGTTCTAGAGTATGGTTGGACGAATTCGATGGCGAATTCGATTGAAGGGAGAAGAATGTAATGCCCTGGATTTTGAATTAATATATTTCGGGGAATATTTGAACAAACACGTAAAAGTTCAATTTTTAAACCGTTGTTTGAATAGGCGATCAGAAACCATGGATGCGCAGAGCTCGTCGAGTAATGCAAAATAGATATAAGTTTATAGTAATCGGAGTCCGAACGAAATAGCGGGGTTTGAAACGAAGTGCGCCGTTAGATCTCTTTTTAGTCTCTTTTATAAAAAAAAGAGAAAAAAAAAAGGAAAAAAAAGAGAGCGCTACAGCAGCAGCCCTAGCCGCCACACGCCTGCGTTCTTGCCGCCGCCGCTATCTTTGCGCCGCCACCACGGCCATAGCCGGGGGTCGCAGCCGTCGCCATCCATCGCAACCGGTGGTTCCTTTCCGTTTTGCTTCTTCCCGGTGAGTTCCTGCGGCTGCTCCTCCTTCTATCGTTTCCCTGTTGTTGCCGATCTGATGGTTGGCGCTGCTGCCGTGATCCAAAGCTGGCTGCTGCTGGTGTTGCTGCTAGGTCTGCCGTTGTGTGGTCAGGGAGGAGAAGGTTCAGGGGCACATGAAGAGGAGGGGAATAGAAGAAAAGGGGAAAGATAAGCAAAAATTGGGGATTTTCTGGGATTCCGCAAATTTACCTCAAATTTGTTTTTCTCCTTTGTAAGGGTAACTCCTCTTGATCCATGGTAGCTCAAATTTTCACGTGGGAATCGATCGGTTTGCCGGTCGGGTGTTTTTAGATGTTGTTTATGGGCTGACAATAGTATTTTCGCATCTGGTATTAAACCGTCGGGATTCAGGTTAGTTGTTCTAAATAAAGTTTGTAGTCAATGTCGATATGTTTTTAACGCCACTGGTTTCGCTCGATTCCGATAAACGGTTTAGGAGAAACAGAAAAAACAGTGCGGCTGCCCGGTCTGAAAATAGGGACAGTAATTAGTTTTTCTTAATCTGAGACCAATAGAGGGTGAATCTGATTTTGTGCCCAATATGAAAGATGTAGACAATTTTGCCTAGATGTCCGAAGTTGTATTATTTGCTAGATTCCGTTAGACGGTTTGCGAGTTACACATAAAACAGTAAGGGAACTACTATAGATTATTTAATACAAATCGATAAAAAGTTTATATGTTCTAGGTTATTGATTTTAGTAGATATCCCTTGTAACTATCATTAGTTGGATATAGTGGTTTATGCGTAGTTTTGCTCCACAGGTGTGGAGGGTTCCAACGTTGGAGGAGTTGAGTCGGAGTATCGAAGGACTTAAGGCAAGTACAAGACGGACTTATTTGATGGATGAACTTAGTTGTTTTTTTTTGGGTTTTACTTGCATAATTATTATTCAATTGCTTGATATTATTGATCGTATGGCTCTGATGTTATGCTACTTATTCATGTTTCAATCCATATTCAAATTCACGATGTTATTCGTGTTTTATTATTTCGGATGTTTCTGTTTACATTATTCAAGAACCATGTGTAGGCATGGGAGTGCAATTTGTATCTTTATTCATGATCCTTGAGAAGCGTTGATCACGCTTGCTAGGCTTACCGGTAATGCTAAGAGGATGTTCATACCTGCCCGGGAGGGAAGTACTATCTTTTGACTTCTTTGTTTTAGAATAAAGTAAATCCAACATTTTATATTGGTTTCATATTGCAATAAATCTGTGTATGTTTTACTAGTTCTATATTGTACTTGCTGAGTATTCTTTACTCTTGTGTTTAAATTGGTTTTTAGGTACCTAATAATATTGATCGGCATGGGATGGGAGTAGCACCCTTGGTCTACACATTATTATTGCACACTATTCAAATTTAGTTTTGGACTGTGATTATGCTTAGCATAAGTTTTGCACAGAACTTGTAAAGGTCATTTAAAGTTCTGGTCCTTATTTTCACACGGAATTTATGGAGCTAGGATGGTTTGGGATTGTGTGGGTTATGTTGTCTTTGAGTTATCTTATATTTGCCTGCCGAAATTTCTAAAAAACTTGTGAGTTAGTGGTTTTGAGTGTATTTTTGTGTGGCACTCTAGGTACGTGGTTACCTGGGGTGTTACACCACCACCTACGCGGTCGACCGCCGCGCCGTCGCCGCCGCCATTCCGCCCACGCCTACCGAGCTGCCGCCGCCTCACGTACGCCAACAACGTTGTCGGCCCTATCCCCGTCAGGCACGCACACGCAACGCCGCCCCCTTCTTGTATACTACTCCCTTACACTATGGGACAGAGAGAGTATTTGTCGATTTTGTTTTTCTTTTTAAATTTTATTTATTTTAGCCCATAGCTCCGTCAAAGACACGGAGAAAAGAACAAACACGAGAGAGAAGGGGGGAAAAGCAGCAACAACAAGAGGAGGAGGCGCCGCAGCCGAGACCCCAGTTCCGATTGATCTCCGGTTCCCAGATCGGCCAGGTTTGTCCCCACCCCCCCCCCCCCCCCCAATTCGCCTCCTGAATCCTTCTTCCCCCGCCCGGTTTCATCCTGATCGGTGCCCGTTTCATGCTGTTCCGTGCGCGGATTAGGGTTCTTGTGCTAGGATCTTTGGGGGGTGGGCTGGTGTTGCTTGATGGGTTTGTTCTTTCGTGTGTGTGATCTGCCGTGGAAGGAAAGAGGAACAGATTCTTCTCCTGAAGAAACCTTTACCATTTCTGTCTGTGGGATTGGCCCATGGGAGAGGGGGGGTGTAGAATAGTTATTCTAGGGGATATATATTTGTATGTATAAATACATATATGTATTACACACATATAAATTAAAGCACTTAACAATTTATGTGCATATATTACCAAAATATATATTTACACTAAACTAAATGTGTACATATATAAATATATACATATATTTACAATTCCTTCGGACCCTAAATATAATGTTTCTATCATATGCTCGCTAGCTACGACTTCGACGCCGGTGTTATCTCAGAAGAAGAAGGACCGACGGTATGAATTGTCGATCCGTCGTAGTAGAATTCACCCTCGGGATCAAGGATTTGTTCGTTGATGAATCCCATCAGTTGTTCTTGAACAGCCGTGATAAAATCCACTTCATCTTCTTCCATTTGAACCCCTAGCTCTTCGTGCAATGCCCAACACTTATAGCTAGGCATGAACCCCGACTCAAACAAGTGGAAATGAAAACTTCTTAATGCAGAATACTCCTTCTGGTTTTTGCACTTATTGCATGGACAACAGATAAAACCCTTATGCTTGTTAGCATCGGCCACTCTCAAAAAATAATGCACGCCATCAATAAACTCTTTCGACCGTCCTGTGCTGAAATATATCTTACTTGTATGGGAGCTATGGAGTTCAATTATATCTGCTCTAGTCAATGTGAGAAATACAAAACCTGTCGTATTAAACATTTTTGAATGACTCCTAATAGAAGATAAATGTGTATGGAGTTCGACAGGTTTTCTAGTAAAAGATTCATATGCTAGCACCGGACAGATATATCCATGAACCCATGTCGACCAATGGGGTTCCACCACGCGCCTATATATAATTGAGGTCTTCTTTCCCTTTGCCTCAACTCCACGCGAAGGGAAAAAGTCTTCCTCCTCACGAATCCCACCTCAATCTCCATTTGCGCCGATCCCTCGAGAGGCAGCTCCGATGGCGCCCAAGGCAGAGAAGAAGCCGGTGGAGAAGAAGCCCAAGGCGGAGAAGCGGCTGTCGGAGTCGAAGGCGTCGTCCAAGGAGGGCGGCGCCGGCGACAAGAAGGGGAGGAAGAAGGCGAAGAAGAGCGTCGAGATCTACATCTTCAAGGTCCTGAAGCAGGTGCACCCGGACATCGGCATCTCCTCCAAGGCCATGTCGATCATGAACTCCTTCATCAACGACATCTTCGAGAAGCTCGCGCAGGAGGCCGCCCACCTCGCCCGCTACAACAAGAAGCCCATCGCCACCTCCCGCGAGATCTAGACCTCCGTCCGCCTCGTCCTCCCCGGCGAGCTCGCCAAGCACGCCGTCTCCGAGGGCACCAAGGCCGTCACCAAGTTCACCAGCAACTAGCCTTATCTCTCTAGGGTTTCGCCGCCATATGCTTCTCTCCTTCCCTTTCCCCTCTCGTTTGCTAGGTGGCAGTAGTTGCAAGCTTGTGTTTGCTTTGTAAATTGTGCTTGATCATAATGGACAGCTTGGATTTGATGTAATAGACGTGGAGTGTTATTTACTGTCGGTGGCTGATTCGCATCTCGTGTTTTTTTCTCTCTTATGCGATTGCAATTTGGGGATCTAGGGTTTGAGGCGGGGGGCTCTGTACTTCTGGAGATGATGCTGCGAGGTGGGCGGCTGGCTGGCTTGGCCTCTCGGATGGTTGGAGCCAAGCCTTTCAGCACGGAGATATTTGTGAGCAGTAAGTAATTAATTTTTCGCCGCCTACGTAATCTTGTGGTTTGCTGCAAAATGTTTGGATCTGTGTGAGCCTGTGATGTGATGTCCTGCTGCTTCACAGTTTCGCTTGTCATGATCTGTCCGTCAGAACTTCATGAGTGATGATCTGGTGTGATTCTGGGGGGTGTGGTGGATGAAATGAGCACTAAATGGTGTGTCCTTTAGCCCTTCTTTTTTTCTGAATATGATATGGTGGATGAAATGAGCACTAAATGGTGTGTCCTTTAGCCCTTCTTTTTTTCTGAATATGATAGATATGGCATGCCAGAAGTTGTTGAGGCTTGGTGCTTTCAGAATATGATTCCTTTTGATTGCAACAAAGGATCGATCAGAGGATGCTTTCTAGCGAGTTAGGGAATTACAGCCTATAGAAACATAGCTAGCTATTGTTATAGAGCTCATAGTGTTTGATAGATGCTTATTTATTCTCTTGGTGATAGCGGTACTTAGAAGTCCCTAATCTGTTGAGCTTGTGAGATGCTCACCTGTTCACATTGGACCATGAGTAGAACACATAAATTGCCTGTAGATATTCTGCTATCTATGCAAGCTAAAGCCATGTAAGTTATGTTCTTAGTGGATTGTCCACTCATTCTATCATGTTTTGATGTTGATTGCTTGTACAGCTTAAACATTCATTCACTCATTTTGGGATTTTGTAGGGCTATCATTTTACACAACAGAGGAAGAACTTAAAAATGTCTTCTCACCATTTGGCGCTGTTGAGGAAGGTACCAGTCAGTAGTCACATGATTTTCAGCACAGGGCAATTTAAATCCTTGTTGTTGCTCTTAATTGGCATTCAAGTTTCACTCTGCTTTATCTACCTTATCAAGCGTAGCTCGATTGGTGAGAGACAACCAAACTGGAAGGCCAAAGGGATTTGGTTTTGTTAAATATTCTTCTCAAGCAGACGCAGAGAAAGCTGTTAAGGCAATGGATGGACGGGTATTTGCTCTGCTCATCCCCTATCTTGCCTATGACCCGCAATTTACCTTTCTGATGTTAGTTTTGATTCTTCTTTATCTGAGAAGAGTTCTGAAAATCTGTATATAGTACTTTCTACCTGGTTTTCAATTGGAATTGAAGGTACATGCACACCACACACACATTTCTAGCTTAATTACTTGAAGCCTAGAGTGGTTTATTGTGATTCATGATAACACCTACCCTCGTAGATTGAGTGGGCCTCATTTGTGATGTTATCTCTGATCTACTTCAGATACTAAGGGGATAAAAAAAATCCACTGATACAAACAACTAAATTAGATGAGGCACTTACCTGGACAACTGAATGAAAAGGACAAGTTGACTGCAGAACTGATCTCTCCGCTGATTAGACTCTTTACAAACAACTACATTAGCTGAGGCACTTACCTGGAGTACTGAATGAAAAGGACAATTTGCCTGCAGAACTGATGTACCTAATTTCAAGATATAATGTGTTGCATGTTTGTAATCTTGGCATAACTGCATGGTGTGGAACAGAACTAATTTTTGTAGTTCTATGAGATTGAGACACTAAGTAGAGATTTATAGTATTTTACGTTCAACCCAGATTGAGAACTTGGCTAGTTTACTGTAAAAATCATGTGAAGCAAACTTTTTGCTGCCTTTTTCTGTAAAACCATGTGGACCAAACTGTGGGGTTTATTTCCTTCTGTGAGGAACATTGTGTTGCTTATATAGTTCTTTTTATTCTGTTAATCCCAAAGAAAATATCTTCTAGATTGGCCATAAACTTTGAGATTAGATATCATCTTGCTAGCATGTTGGCCCTCCACCATTTTGTCACTGTAGAATGTTGTTTTTATTTTGGGATTGTGACGTGTGAGTATTCATTCAGATCTTTCTTCATGTGGAAATGATTCGTATTCAGCATAGATTTATACTAAACCAGCCTTCTTATTTCCCCTGATTGGTCTGTTTTATTGTAAGACTAAACTTTCAATAAATCTTTTCTTTGGCAGATCATACGTGGAAGACTAATTTTTGTGGAAATTGCAAAAGAATAAAACTGCATAGGGCATAGTCTATCACCATCGTTGCTGAACTGGAGCAGTTTTCCTGCCTTAAAGCGTACTCGTACATGACTACATGGCTAATCTGGCTTAGTTCCAACAAGACCTATGAGCACTTCTCCCGGCCTGAATGCGTACTTTTGTGACTTCTGTTGAGCCAAGTATTGGTTTGCGAACAACATTGTTTGTTTTTTAAAGACAAAGAAAGCTTTCAAACAGGAAAATTGTTGTTGGAAGGTTAAGTTGAATTTATGAACCCGAGCTGGAAGGTTATATATGCGTAGAATGCTGGATGACCCATATACCCGCCCCTGCTCCACTAGCTAGTGCTTCCACCGTTTTCTTCTGTGTCATCTATAAAGCGATATTGTTTGAATTTGATCTGAAAAGTATTAAAGCCGTTATGTATATCCGATGAACTGGTTTTGGATGGCTTTGTGCCCTACGTCAGAGTAACGTGATCATTGACATGCGGACCTGTGAACACATTACCTAAGAGGTTATAGTTCCATGGGCATGGCTAAAGTTGGATTATCTCACTTTAGTTCAATTAAATCAATTAGAATGCGCTGATTAACCTAGGATAGGTAAAGGGTTCCTTTCTATGTAGGAATTTTGCAGTAATTAGTTTAATTCCTTGTATAAAATTCCTCCAGTCCAAATATGGGGACGATTCCAATTGTGCTATGATTTTTTTAAAAAATATTTTAATAAAATAAAAAGACCAACAAAAATTAAAAAAATCTTGTGCTACTGGGTTGCCTTGGCCTGAGGATGTACCGGAAGTTTATTGTTTTACAGGAGCAGACAACCATTTCTTCAAAATTAAATTGTACTAGCAGATATAACATTATAATCCATCATTAGTTCACTACATGAAAAATTAAGCGTGCTCTGTGAGATATGGAAATAGGTACAAAGGTTATATAGTTGATCAAAATTAAATACCCTTGACGGAATGAGTGTAACATTGTGGTGGAACTAATTCAAATTCAACAAATGTACTCAAATTTACAACTAATTATTCTTTTAACGATAGATGATGTACTCATGATGACTGTTCATAGAGTTAGGATGTGTATGTGCGTATTCGTAGAGTGAGTTTGCATATTTTAAGCGCCTATGTTGTACTATGTTTTCTAAAAAATAAATGTCCTTGCTTAAAAAGGAGGGTACACAAACAAGACCCTATTACAAAGATGGATCTTTCAAATATATTAGTATTTCATTCGTTTCAAAATATAACAACTTAGGTGTACGTTTATCCTTAAATATAATAACTTTTTTTCAACCAATCACAACCTTCCACCTCTTAGTATCCTCACCTATTTTCTATTCTCAACAAATCACAATCATCACATTTAATTTTACCCGTGTTCAATACAAAAATGGAGGTAGTAACATAAATACAGAGAAGGTCTATTCATAAGGACGTGGATCTTGACCCAAAATAAGTCCATAGCGGAATTGAGGACCAAGTTTATTTGCCTGTTGGCCCAAAAATATACAGCTCAAGACACAATTGAGGGGCCAAGTAGCTCCAAACTTCCATGGATTTAGCCCGCCCAATGCCATAGGAAATCCCAAGACAAATTTTCATTTCGTACCCGGTTTCCCGCCATTCCCCCTCCACTAATTCAAACCAAAGCGCCAGATTGCCTCCCAAAATGCAAATTCCAACCAATCACTTCAACATCCAGCAAAATCACAGATGCTGAGATACCCATACTTAGGCATTCGGTGATTTTCATTCCAAACACCAAATTTTTGAGGCGGCACTAAGCCCAACACACCACCAACAAATTTGGGTGATTTTAAGTTACCCGCCCAACCCAAGCAACCAAATTCGAACGATCTTATAAGATCGGATCTGACAATTGAGAAAATTCAGATCTCCACAGCCAAAGCATAAGGAGCAAGAATGGAAACATCTCTGAAGAAAAATTTAACATATCTTAGATTTATCTTCTTGAACAGACACAAGGTTCAACGACACCACTATAGATTAGATCAACAGCATCAGCAGACTACTAACAGACACACATCCCGTCCAATCTACTCCAGCTAAACAAGCAAAGCGAGGCGCCGACGTCTAGGCCTTCTTGGGGGACTTGCCGGCCGCCTTCTTGGGCGACTTGGCCTCCTTGCCGGCGGCGGCGGCCTTCTCCGCCGTCTTCTTGGGCAGCAGCACCGGGTTGATGTTGGGCAGCACGCCTCCGTGCGCGATGGTCACGCCGGCCAGCAGCTTGCCGAGCTCCTCGTCGTTCCTGATCGCCAGCAGCACGTGGCGCGGGATGATCCTGTTCTTCTTGTTGTCCCTGGCCGCGTTCCCGGCGAGCTCCAGCACCTAAGCAATCGAACAGAGAGGGCACCACCAGATCAGCACACAGATCGAAACCTGCACTGCAGATGAAGTTGACGACAAAGTGGGGGCGTGGGCGTGGGCGAGCGTTATTACCTCGGCGGCGAGGTACTCGAGGACGGCGGCGAGGTAGACGGGGGCGCCGGTGCCGATGCGCTGCGCGTAGCGGCCCTTCTTGAGGTAGCGGCCGATACGGCCGACGGGGAACTGGAGCCCGGCCTTGACGGAGCGCGACACCGCCTTCTTCCTCGGCCCACCGGCCTTCCTCCCGGCGGCTCCCTTCTTCAGCTTCCCACCCGCTCCGGCTCCGGCGGCGTCCATGGCTAGTCTAGCTAAGCTGGTTCCTGCTGCGCTCGAAGGCGTGGAGGATTGTTTTTCTTTTTTTTTCCTTTTCTTGGGTCGTCGAATGCGAGTGCGCGATGGAGACGAGGCCGGTGGGGTGGCGTATTTAAACGGTTGGGGGAAGGGGAGGGTGGTGGGCCCGTCGATCCGTGGGAGGGGAGATGGACGGTCGGATCGTTGGGGGGATGAACTGATCTCTCTGCTGATTAGACTCTTTACAAACAACTGCATTAGCTGGAGTACTTAGGCCTTAGGCCCTGTTTAGTCCCAAAATTTTTTTCCAAAAAACATCGCATCGAATCATTGAACACATATATGGAGCATTAAATATAGATAAAATGAAAAACTAATTGCATGGTTAGAGGAGAAATTGCGAGACGAATCTTTTGAGCCTAATTAGTCCATAATTAGCCATAAGTGTTACAGTAACCCTCATGTACTAATGACGGATTAATTAGGCTCAAAAGATTCGTCTCGCGGTTTTCAGGCAAGTTATGAAATTAGTTTTTTCATTCGTGTCCAAAAACCCCTTCAGACATCCGGTCAAACGTTCGATGTAACACCTAAAAAATTTTATTTCGCGAACTAAACAAGGCCTGAATGAAAAGGACAATTTGCCTGCAGAACTGATGTACCTAATTTCAAGATACAATGTGTTGCATTGCATGTTTGTAATCTTGGCATAACTGCATGGTGTGGAACAGAACTAATTTTGATTTTTTTTATTTTGAATTTTTTTATTAAAATATTTATAAAACTAATTTTGTGTTTGAAAATTTTACAAAACTAGTCGCCCGCCGCCCTTGGAGAGGGCGATTTTTGTGGCGTGGCACACGGCCGTTAGCTAAGTCCTTACGGCCGGTTATAGGGGGCCTGCCATTTTGCAGGCGGCCCCCTTGCCGTCCTTACGGAGCGCGGTTTTACACTGTTCGGGAGCCGCCGGCCTAGTTTTTTTGCAGGCGCCCCCCTTGCCGCCCTTAGGGAGGGCGATTTTTCCCCTCCCGAGTATAAAACCTCTTCCCCCTCTGAGAATTTTCATTATATTCACTCAAAATCCAAAAAAAAAAGAGAATGAGGGAGGGGTGAGGGGGAGGAGAAGGGGAGCGGCGAAGCCCTGCTGGTTTGCTGACTTCATCACAGGTAATACATTCATTTGAAATGTGTTTCCATTTTGTTGTTGCATTTTAGTTTTTTTACCATATACTTTAGTAGATCTGTAGCACACACCCTATTTTTGAATTTGATACATAGAACAGACAACTTATTTGTAGTATCTTTAACTTAGAGCGTAATATGTATTGATGAATGGGGGGGGGGGGGGTTAGATCTAGTTAGTATGATATGAACTTAGTTAACATAGCTATTTTTTCATCAGGGATAATGTCAAGTAAGGTCATGTTTCAGATAGTTCACGGTGAAGGCAACCTTAGATTTGGTCCTGATGGTGTTGATCTGTCAGATTTTGTAATGACATCGAAGGGCATCGATAGGCTTGCCGAGAGATCATTTCAGTCAATTTATAATTGGTTGATGCGAGGATTTAGAATAGACTCAGAAGTCTACACAATGTCAGTATCGGTTGTAGTGAGTCGTGCAACGGAAGGTTATTTTTAGGAACTCATCCCGATGCATAGCACTGTTGCTTGGAAACGGTATCTGGAGATGGCTTTTGAAAGGTCATGGCCCTGGTTATTTTTGTGTCGGTGCATGAAAATGATAGAAATATTGCAATGGAAACTGAAGATGTCGAGGGTCCAAGCCATGAGGGGGATTTTGTTGAACCATCAGGGGAAGATGAGGGAATGACACAGGGGTGGAGCAGGCCATGGGCGTGGCGGATGAGGGGGAGAGAAACAATACAATCGTTGATGAAATGGAGAGGGAAGATTCGGATAACGAGCAAGCGGAGGGTGATGCATCATCCGACGAGGAAGGTGATGTAATGCCCACTGATTGGACAAACGAGGACTTCTCGGGACTTGTTATCTCAGAGGAGCATCATGTACCCTGGGAATACAAGGATAACAAGGTAATTGAGGGTGCTACATATGCTCATAAGGAGGATATGAAGGAGGCAGTGAAGCATTGGGCGATCTCATTGATGAGAGAGTTTAGGCAGTGAAACATTGGTGCGGTCTCATTGACGAATGTCAGGTACAAATTGCAAGCTTAGACTGGAGGAACAATCCATTATGTTTACCTAAATGGTCAGAGTGTCCAAAGTGTGGTTGTAGAGATCGCTGCCAGGTGGCTACCTCGTTTGCAGAACAAACAATTGGTAGGAGATACTTTGTCTGCCCCAATGTAGACGACGATTTCGTTGTACGTATAACAAATTCCAAATTTAACTAGCATCTGCTTATTATTACTATCATATCTGACTAACTATGTTTATTTCTTAGGGCAATCCAAGGAGGTGCACATTCACTTTATGGATCGACAATGTCAATCCAACATATGATGGCCAAAAGATAACTGAGTCTGAAACATAGGTAGAATACCAACGGGAGAAGGAGCATCAAAATGCAATACATGTTGAACAGCGCAGAAGGGGTCGGTAGATAAGCTCAGGCTCGATTTGTCAGGACCGACAAATTTGTATCTTTTATCCATGCTATCTTGTCATTATAATGTTTCATTATTATGGTGTGTTGTTATATGCGTCACGAATTACAAATTAATGGGCTCTATCGTTCCGATTTCCAAAGTTTCTTTGACGCCACGATACGTTGTATCCTTATAATTTATAAATATCTGCTTATATTTTTATAACTTTCACCTTCAATTGTGTACATGATTCAACATACGTAAGAATTATACGTAACTTACAATTTATAGGTAACAAACCCCCTCATTGCCCTCCAATCTATATGAAAAATTAAATTATTGAAATTTTATAAAAATGTACGTACTTTGTTCGTTTCAAAACTATACTTTACCTAATTTTAAGTGCTACAAAATTAGGTCTATGTAAAACACCTATTTTGTAAAATTTTAAGTGCAAAATAGTTAGATTTATGTAATGAATAATTTGAAACTATTCCTCCTATTTCGAAACGATGATTTACGTAGTTTATAAAGTAACAATTAATTATTTTGATGTAAAAATACCCCTTGTTGGGCTCCAAACTGCGAAAACAACGTACCATTCAATTGTAATAATGTTTTTCTTGTTTCACAGTTTTTTAAGTGATGATTTACTAAATTTTCTAAATAAACAGAGCTAAACACCTGGGGCTGCCCTTGTCCCCTAGCACAGTGAAAAATCGCCCTCCCTAAGGGCAGCAAGGGGGCCGCCTGCAAAATTCCAGGCCGTCCTCGCCGCCCTTTAGCAGGCGGCCCCCCGAACAGTGTAAAACCGCCCTCCCTAAGGGCGGCAAGGGGGCCGCCCTCGTCGCCCTGTTGCAGGCGGCCCCCGAACAGTGTAAAACCGCCCTCCCTAAGGACGGCAAGGGGGCCGCCTGCAAAATGGCAGGCCCCCTATAGCTAGCCGTTAGGAATGAGCTAACTGTCGTGCGCCACGTCACAAAAATGGCCCTTTGGGAGGGCCCCAAGGGCAGCGGGCGACTAGTTTTGTAAAATTTTCAAACACAAAATTAGTTTTGTAAATATTTTAATAAAAAATTTAAAAATAAAAAAAATTCACTAATTTTTGTAGTTCTATGAGATCGAGACACTAAGGCCCCATTTGAATCCTCTGTAAAGAGAGCATATAGTTTTGGATATTCATGACACGCTTTTCAAATTACTAAAGGGTGTGTTTCGTGCGAAAACTTTCTATATGAAAGTTGTTCTAAAATATTATATTAATCCATTTTTCAAGTTTGTAATAAGTATAACTCAAATAATCACACGTTATTACCATCTCGTTTTGCGTGAAACACTTAATCTTCATCTTCATCTTCAGAAGATTCAAACACCATCTAAGTAGGGATTTATATTATTTTATGTTCAACCCAGATCGAGAACTTGGCTAGTTTACTGTAAAAATCATGTGAAGCAAACTTTTTGCTGCCTTTTTCTGTAAAACCATGTGGACCTAGAGATGGCAATGGGGACCCGATCACCGATCCCCCGTGGTGAATTCACACATTAGAGGATGGGGATGGTTGATATCTACCCTCCATGGGGAATCTAATGTTTTACAAAATTGTAATAAGCTCACCTAGGATAAACCACTATGGTATCTGTTATTAGGTTTGAATGTGACATGGTATGAGAAATTGGATTGAATTTGGTGGGCTCAAATTTAATGGGCCTGTTTAGTGGGCTTTGATCTAATAGTTGGTTAACAAAATGGGCCAGTTCTAAAAAAATAATGGGCCACTATGAAATAATTAATGGACCAATGTAAAAATTTAATGGCCTGTAAAAAAAATAATGGGCCATTAAAAAAATAATAGGTCGTTTAAAAATATTTGCTGACGTTATCTACCACGTCATCAGTGACACGTCATCACACGTGTTAATGACCACGTCACCTGCCATGTTGGCCGCCACGTGGCAACCATCTGTGACGTTTAATTTTGTCACAAAAGTTGGGCCTGGGCTGAACTACATGAGCCCAAAAGCGTTTTATGACAGTTAAAAATGTCATAGATTGTGCTGATCCGTGACGATTTCGGAGAAAACGTCGGCAGATTTAATCTGTGACGCTCAATAGATGACGATAAGTAGAATCGTCACAGACAAATTTATGTGACGAATTTTCAGTGATCCATGGCGAATTTTTTTCATCATAGATTAAATAGATTATTGTAGTGTTATCCTTGAACACACATAACCAACAACTTTCCTGATAAATGACACTTATGCCCCCCATTCACATATATATGAAAAAAATTGTATGCAATGAATTCTTTTTATAGATAAAATAAATTATGTACTTCCAAGTGTATACAATAGCCATTAGGCTTAATTTTCATGTGCACATGTTGAAATAATGGGAAGTACATATGTAATGTTGTTTGTTCATTTTGGTTTTTTTTTTCTAGTCTATAGCTGTATACAATTAAGGGCAAAAGGGACATTTTCTAACATAATTGTTGACTAAAAATAGCCATATGGCATATTAAGTGGGCCCAAGGATG